CTGCTCCCAAGAAAAGGTGGCTGGCTGGGAGCCTGGACACAAGCACAATGGGGCTGGTGGAGCCACTGTGTGGAGCTACTTGAATTATCACTGGGTCTTCATCAACTCCTTTTATAATACAGACCACTCAAGGGCTGAAGTGTTGGTAACCTTCATTTCGGTGTCCAATGCCTCACAGCAGCTGAGCCACCCTGAGATGCTTGTGGCCACATGATTGCCACAGTCAGAGCTTTGAAAGTCAGTACCAAATGAATGCATAATTGGACACCAAAAATCAAGTGTTACTTTCATGTTTCCTCACCCCGTCATCTCATTTCCTCCTGCTGACTCTGTGATGCCTACACTAAGCTGACCAGTCAGGCTGTGGCTGGGTGCATATGGATGCAGGCCAGCATCACTCTCGTTTTTTAAGATAGACCTACTCTGTGGACAGGAAGTGGCCTAGCTGCTTAGTTGTTGTAGCACCTACTGGCTGAATTTTTCTTTGCTAACCATTAACCAGGAAATTTGGCAAGGAGGACTCAACTCACTCAGTCAGTCCTCAGGACCAGAGTAAATTCTGCAAAATTCAGTACTTGAATGTACCTGCCTTACTGTGTACCAATTTACTGGGGTAAGAAAAGAGAGAGAGAGATGCTGGCTCCAGATCTCCACTCCATTCACAGATTATTTTGGAAATCCTGTAAGTCACACTTCCTGTTCTGGGTTTTTGTTGTTATTTACCTTTGGCTGATTCCTGCTGAGTGGGGCCAGTTCCTTGTCAGGCTCAGGGCAGGTGCCATTCTCAGGCATGGCCTCCTTTCCATCTAGCACAGCATCTGTATCTCTGTTCTGTCTCCTCCAAATCCAAGATGATTTTAATTAGTACAGACATGTACAGTCTACAATTAAAGAGTGATTTGTACTAATATGATTTTGATTCTTCCTCTTTGCTGTCCTTTCAAGACACTTGCTGGAAAAAGCTTTAATGCACTTAGTTTTCCTTTAGGTTTTCTATAACTCAGATGTAAAGGACTTTCTCTGTACAGTATATTATCCAGTGCATGTTTGTTCTCTATCCTGATATATTGAACACCACACAGTCGTGAACTCGTGCAGTGGGGATGCCCCACACCCAGACGAGGCCTCTAGCCCCGTAATTAAGGAAGACACTTTCCTTTGCTGTACTTGCTTGAGCAGTTTTATTGTCTGTACATGTGAGCTGTGTGAGATAGATGTGAAAAGTTCAAATGAATGCATTTTCCTGCCCCATGTATACAGAGCGTCATCTGTACAATGAGCTGTATGTATGAAAGCAAATGTACTTATTTATAAATGGTTAACACTTGGAAAAACTTGGTGTTGCGCTTTTCTCCTTCCATGATGCTCTCTCCAGGGAGTTGACTCCTAAGCTCACCTTTGCTGCCACTGCAGTGCTGAGGAGGCCACCCCCAAGGAAGAATTTGGCAGGTTAAGGCTAAGGCCAGATCCCTGGTGATTGCTTGTCTGTTGTGGGATGAGTCGCCCCTTCCTGCATCTATTCACCTGTCAAGTTAGCACTCCTTGGAGTTGGACACTGACGGGCACTCAAGGGAGCTGTGGGCACTAAAAAACGGTACCTGGGCCTGCTCAGCAAAGGCTTACTTGCTTCATAGCAAGAGGGGTTCTCTTCAGCAGAGGCTGTGCCGAGGGAGCACTGCACCCTTACCCTCTTGCATTTTTCATGGTTGAAACTGCTCCCAACCACCTTCCCAAAATGCAAGAGTGCAGTGGGTTGCCAGCCCTGCTGTCAGGTTTAAAGATGGCAGGCCCAAGGATGGAGGGGCATCCTGCACCGTAGAGCCAAAGGCTAACTTGGTCAAAGCTAGAGGTCCATGGCTTCCAGGGGTTTTGTTTTTCCTTCAGAAATCTGACAGGACTTCCGATCCTCACCACATAAAGAGCTAGGCCACTGCCTTGTGAATGGAGAAGTTGCAGGTTTCTTAAACCTGGCTTCATAGCTTTAAAAAAATAATTATAATAAAAGTGGCCCTGCAGCCTTTCCTGCCTGACCACAACCTCTTTGTCTACTTCAGGGACGAGCAAAGAAAGAGACCACTTCTTCTAAACATCAGCTCATGCTAAACAAACATTCCTGCTGGGAACCTACATCCAGTTCCCAAACAACCGAAGCCTGGGGAAGCAGGAGAATTTCAGGCTGTGCACGGCCATCCCAGCCTGGACACCAGAATCGAAGAGAAGAAATGACTCTGGGAAGAACTACCTGCTCAGCCTGAAAACTCAGTTATTTTTTAAAAATCCAAAATGGTTAAGTGATTGGCAAAAACCCAGCTTTTAAAGAATTAATGGGACATTGAAAGAAAGGAAGAGAGTAATGATTAGTTTAAAAAATACTCAGCCACTCAGAGTAGAAGCAAACAGTGAACTCAGCAAAAGTCTTTGTAGATTTTCAGAAGTTCCTCATTATTTTATTCCCTCATAGGTGCCTTTTAATAACTCTGGAGGTAGGCACTCCACTGTGCACATCTTTGGGAGTTGGACCATGCCTCTGGCTGCAGAAGGATGGATGAAACCAATATGGGGGCCAGAACAGGAACAGGGTGTTGTCTTCTTTCAACCCTAAAATCCAGGTTGGAGGATCCAAGTGTGGTGGCACACACCTGTAATCCCAGCAACTCAGGAGGCTGAAGCAGGAGGATTCCAAGTTATAATATAGCCTCAGCAACTTAGGTAAGACCCTGTCTCAAAATTTAAAAATAGGAAGAACTGAGGATGTAGCTCAGTAGTAGAGTGCCCTGGGTCCAGTTCCCAGTATCGGGGGTGTGGGAAAAAAAAAAGAGAGATAGAGAAAGGCTGGAGGACCTCAGTGACTGAGTCATTCCATTCCCAGGAATAAGGCAGGCCACTGAGAATAAGGCTGTCATGTCTAGAGGGCCTAGGTATCAGAGGGAAGTTCCTCTTCCCTCTTTCTCTCCCTCACAGAAAAGAACCTGCTCACAGGCCTTCCTCATAAGCCATTCTCTTGAGATGCCCTTCATGCCCAGGCACAGTGGCCTGGACTTTACACATGTTCTCTGACGTATTCCTCACATGAACCTCTGGCAGATGGCCCTGCTTTATGCAAAACACAAGAGCCAAAGCAGATCCTGAGAGTAAGTTACCCAAGGACCACCATGGCAAAGATGGGACTCTAAATCAGACCTGTCCCACTTCATAAGGAGCAATCTCAGAAAAGCAAGCAATCTTCATGACACCTAAAGGAGCATAGGCACTGGGTCAAGAAGGAGATCTTGCCAAATGCTGCTGTATGCTCCTTTGGAGAAATAACTGTGCCAAGGTCAAGGTCATTTGGGGATTCTCAGGGCTCCAAACCCAGAGAAAAGGTGAGGTCCTAGGTCATGTAACTTGAGATTTGCAGAGATGAAGGAGTAGTCCTCTGGGCTGGAAGGCAGTGTCCTCCGGTGACTGCGATCATTTGAATATCCACAAACACAAGGAGACTTAGGAATCAGAGGATATCCCAGAAAGCCAGAAATGAGACAGCACATAACCGTCACACAGCCCTGTGCTTGACTGAGCAACCAGCCTGTCCCAAGCCATGTGCCTTGAATGCTTCTGAGCAAATGAAGGTCCACAAGGAAGCCTTGATTCAGGAGGAAGATTAGATGCCCTCAGAAAGACCTCTGGGCTCTGGCTTCTGCACATTAGAACCAGCTTCAGCACAGAATAAAGTTCAACAAATTTTAGGAAGCAGGTGTTCATGTGACTTATTAGACGATTTACTGAGGGTCCCTTTAAATTATGAGTTCCTGAAAAAGTTTTTCAGTTGCTTAAATGACCAGGTACATAGTGCATAATGTGCACAGTGAAATTCCACCCCAATTTGCCATAAACATACTCCTGCCTGAGAGACATAAATTGCCACAAAATGGAATCTCAGCTTGTGATAAATAGCTATGCTCTTCTTAAGGATCAAAAAGACACATTAAAAAGAAAAAGGTCAGGCTGGGGTTGTGGCTCAGTGATAAAGCCTAGCAGTCTCCAAGATGTGGCTTGAGTCCCCAGCACAAAGAAAAGATGGAAGAAAAAGAAGTCAATTGAATACTGTGCTAGGGGACACTTCTTGCTTTAGGACCTTATCAGGCTCATGGAGCTCCACCCTCCAGGCCATTTGCTCTGGCTGAGAGAAAAGTTTATCCAACACATGGAAAATTCCCCTCCACTGGGGCCAGACTGGACCTCACAGGGCCATTTCAGTCCTGTTCTGTGCCCAGCCTGGGGACGATTTCTCTCAAGGAGTAGAACTAACTTTACATATCTGACTGCTAAAAGCTCTGGCCCTTTTCACTATTGTCACGGCAAATGAAGATAACAGGCAAGTAGATTGCTGTAGATATTTATTGAATCATCTGTTACACCAACAGCACATGGTATGTCAAGAGAGACTGGCCACATACAAACAAAAGAAACCACATGTCGGCTGGGGGCCTTCTTTGGTCCTTAGTCATCCAATATACACTTTGGCAAATAGACCAGTTTACAGATTCTCATTCCAGATCTAAGGTTCCAGTTCTCTATGTAGCTTCTGGCAAGAGAGATACACAATTATGTTTTGGTAGTTTGTCCAAGGACGAGTTTCACACATGTAAACATAGACTACACAAATGTATGGCAGCTGATTAAATAATTGATAAGATCTTTGTCCTTGCAGAGTATACAACCGATTATTATCAGGGCAAGTGGAGAGGAAATGGGGAAAGAGGTCTGGGGAGGGTGCTGGATCACACGTACCTGCTCTGAGAAGTGACATCACCAAAAGTAGGACCCAATAATTGGCAAAAACCAATTATTAAAAATCTGAGCAGTAGCTGGGTGAGGTGGCACATGCTTATAACCTAGCAGTTTAGGAGGCTGAGGCAGGATTACAGGTTCAAAGCCTCAGCAATTTAGCAAGGCCTTAAGCAAGTTAGCAGGACTCTGTCTCAAAATCAAAAATAAAAAGGGCTGGCATGTGGCTCAGTGGTTAAGCGCCCCTGGGTTCAATCCCTGGTACAAAAAAGAAAAAAATCTGAGGAATAGATAAGGCCAGCCCATTTTCTCTAAGGCAGCATCTAGGTGTGAAAAGGGTAACTGTTAAATGTAGTCAGTTTAGAAATTTTATTAATTTTCTCACTTAAGTAAACTGTGACTGTCTCAAACTGTCAGGTTGCTTAGAGCCCAGAAAAAATGGAGGGGCCTTCCCAAGTCCAAGAAGCATCAGACGGAGGCTCTAAACATATTATTTCTAGAGCAAAGCCAAACAGTGACTCAGCTAACAACATCATAACACAAATTATGGGATGGGAATAAGGTCCAGACACCACAGAGGATTCTTCTCATTCTGCCCCAGTTCCAAATTCCTGAAAAGATGGGCCCAGGTGAGGGAAGACAGGGCTCATCCTCCAAAACAGAACAGGCAGTTCAAGCCAGAAGCATGCCACAAGCAGCGGCTCTTCATTCCAAAAAACTGCCCTCTGCCTCTCAGCGCAGTTCCCAAGCTGCCCACTGTGAGAGGAGCTCTGCAGGGGAGCCAGAGGACAGGAGGCCTCTCCTGCTTCCCATGCAGGCTGCCCCATCTCCAGGGCAAGTGTGTCTGAAGTCACATGTTCCTGTCCCCTCTCCCTCAAAGCTGTCCTGGGAATCGTGGGTTAAAGAGCAGGAAGGCTTAAGACTGCTGTGGGGTCAAAGCCAAATGGCAGTGCTTCCCAGGAGCTGGTCCCTCCCCTCTCCTGGGAAGCCTTCCTCTGATTAGAGGCATACTTTGTACATAATATCACTTGCTCCACTGCCAAGGACTGGGCCAGTTTCTCCAACATGCTGCTCAGGCTGGAGGGACTCCTGGTTAGGATTCAGTTATACAAACAGCAGTCTTAGCTTTCCAGAACTATCCCTGAGGCCCTGCAGTTCCCCTGGCCTCACCCTAGCCATCTGCTGCCTGGAGGGTGGAGCCTGTCCAGCTCCTGTGGGGAGCTCTGCTTCTGCATCCAGGACTGAGCCCCAGGCCCCCACCAAAGCTTTCTGCATGTGAAGGGGAACAGGGAACAATACCTGCACAGGACATCTATAGCCACAGCCACAGTGAGGGAGGGAAAGCAGAGGACAGCCCTAACCCCAGAAGCCACCTAAAAGACACCACTACACCCACACTCCCCACCATGCTGCCTGAGTCTTCCCCAGGTTCTGAAGACTCAGCCTCAGCAGGGGTGAGCCACAAGACGCCTATGGGAACTCCACAAAATTGAGAGAGCCGCCCCCAAGCGGCCTCTGCATGAGACAAGATGGAGTCGGGCCATCACTGGGAGCTGGGGCTGTCTCCCTCAGTCAGGGTCTTGAAGTCCATGGAGAGGGCTTGTTCTTCAGCCTGGGGAGGCCGCTTCCAGTCAGCTTGAGCCAAGATGTAGAGCACAGTCACCCCGAAGCAGGCCAGCAGCAGGCCCAGCACGTTGGCCAGGACCCCTTCAGGCTGAAATGTGCTGTACTGGCTCCTACAGGGAAGGAGAGAAGGGAGAAGCCACCCAAGGGGTCCCAGTTAGGCCAAATGCCATTCTCATCCTGGGCCTTAAAGATGCCACAGGTTTGCCAGCACCAGCCCCCTCTAACTACTCCTAAGTCTCTAAAAGGCTGGCTTAGAAAACAAATGTTGAGGGAGGGAGGTTCCATCTTTGTAGGCAGCTGTGGCTCTGCCCTCTCCTGTCCTAGGACGCTCACCCGAGTTTAAACAGCAGCGCTTCCTTCAGGCCCAGCAGGGCTGTTCCTACAGAAAGGAGGAAGATGGTGGCACCAAAGAAGATGTGCTGAGGGCGGTAGCGGCTCCGCAGGGAAAATGAAGCTCCAGGGAACAGGAAGAAGCTGAAGCCCACGAACCACTAGTAAAAAAGGAGAGGCAGTGTTGGACCATGTGCTGGCCACGCACCTAACCAGCAGGAGGACACCAGGGCGACCCCTTCTTCCCCTCTTGAGGACTGTTAAGGACAGGGAATGGGTCCTGCCCCCAATGATTGAAGTCTTTGACCCATAGCAAAAGTTGGTCATTCTGAGAACTCAGCTGGCATGTGACCAAATACAGTGCCAAGTCAGCGGGGAAGGGTGCTGGGCCTGGGGCCCCTGGCCCATGCAGTCCTAGGATCACACCCCTCCCGCATCTGAAGGTGATGTCCAACCAAACTAAGCAACTCTCAGGGCACACTCAGCACTGCCTCTCCTCCCCCTCCCTGTCCCTTGCCGCTGGACCTGGAGATGGGGTGCTGGAGGGACTCACCTGCACAAAGTAAAGAACAAAGACAAGGATCCCGAACCAGCTGTGCAGGCTGTACAGATCAGCATAGCTCTTCTTCTTATGGTAATCGAACACCGCCACCAGGCCTGGACCAGAGATAAGGGCCGTGTGAGGTCAGGGTGGGATGTGGAAAAGAGAGTGGGTGGGATGACCTGAGGGACACTGGATAGCCAGAATTTCTGGGCTTTGGTCCAGCCCAATGACAGCCAGCACCAAGTGTCCCTGCCAGGGACGGTATTGGGGAGAGGACCAGGGGCAGGGCCATAGGGTTCTGGAGCAAGGAATGGTGTGTACCCAGCAGCTGCCTCCCAGCTGAAGCAGTGGGCGAGGAGAGGAAGGCACACCAGGACTCACCAACCAGGGCGATGATGAACGCAAAGACATGCAGTAGCCCGTGCAGGGCCTTAGTGGTGCGTTTGGCCTCTTTCCTGAAGACACGGTAGACCAGCAGGGCTGTGGGAAGTAGGAAGGGAAAACTAAGTGTGTGGCCTGCGCTGGACAAACAGCATGAAGGGCCACGTGGCCGGAGCATGAGCTGAGTTACAGCTTGTCAAGTTTGGCCCCCAACAGGAACTACAGGAGAAAACAGGACTCCATGGGACCGTGGGAGCTCCTGACCTTTGCAGATGGCACTGCCCTCTCCAGCTGGGTCCACCCTTCACACACACACCTGAGCACACTCAAGCATGCTGGGAGGCTGTGCCACAGCTCTTGCCACAAAGGGCAACAAAGGTGGGACTGGGCCCTCAGCCCTCATCCGGAGCAATTACTGGCCCAGTGGACACCCATCCACATCCTGCCTGCAGATGTCCTGTGAACTCATTCATTCAGGTGCTTTGGGTTCATCAAACAGTGGCAACTAGCTTCTGAACTGACCTTTTAGAAATATCACTCCTCAGAGTCCAATACTGAAGCCTGACCTGTCACTATTTATTTATTTATTTATTTATTTATTTATTTATAGTTGTAGTTGGACACGATGCCTTTATTTTATTTATTTTTATGTGGTGCTGAGGATCAAACCCAGGGTCTCGCATGTGCTAGGCGAGCGCTCTACCGCTGAGCCACAACCCCAGCCCCATGACCTGTCACAATTTTTAATATGAAGTTTCCTCATTCCCAAACCGAATCCCCACTGCATCCAGCAGGTAGGCTCAGGTCTCATGGGGAATACCTCTGGGGACATGCTGCTGAGGAGTGGCTATCACCAGGACTGCCTCTAGGAAGAGCGCAGGCCATGCACCACCTTGCTCCCACCCCAGATGGAGGAGCTCTAGCCGGGCCAAGTCCAAGTGCAGCAACACACATGCACAATCCTAATATTTCTTTTCCCGATTCCCAGTCACTGATGAAGATGGCTCAGCTCCCAGCCCAGGACCTGGCTCTCTGCTCTAGAAAACACCCCACCCCCGGGAGATGAAGCAAAAGGCAAAAAGTGCTAGGACAGCTGGAGAGCGACTGCCACCCACCAGCCTCGGTGCCAGATTGAACTGTCTCCCCAGGCTCTAACCCAGCTCTAACCCGGCTCTAACCCAGCCCCCGCTCCATCTTTTCTAGAATCTTTGATTTGTCTAGCTGGAAGAGACCTCAGGGGTAACAGGATCCCTCTCCCTATGACAGCCCCAAGCCCAGGCACAAAGGAGCAGCTCCCCACAGGACTTACCATCTCCCTGCAGGAAGATCATGCCTATGACCATGCAGAGCGGGTGCACGTTAAACTGCAGGGTCCCCTCCCAGGCAATGCCACCTCGGTACAGACCCAGCCAAGCACCAGTCATGGCCACCACAGTCAAACCCAGCAGCTGGGAGAAGGCCACATAGTAGGGCAGCGCACCAGGGGTGGACACAGGGCCAAGGCCACTCTCCATGCTGAGGCAGCCACTGCAAGAAAGAAACAGAGCTCAGAGGAGTCACCCACAACCTCCAGAAGTGGCATCCCACCTCCACATGCCACCTCACCCGTCTCCCCTGTCTTCAAACAGAGCTCACTCACTCTCCCACCTCCAAGATCCCTTCCTGCTACCCTCCTGGAGCAGGATCCCTAAGTCCCAGGAGCAGCCCAGCAGGAGGCCCAGCCTTCTCAGGAGACAGACCTGACTTGGGTTCCATGTGTAAAGAAGGTGCAAAGGAAGACACCCCAAGTTCTTGTGGGAGCACAGGCCTCAGGTGAGAGCTGTATGTCCTCTCATGAGGTCCCCAGTATTCTCAGGTAGGGTTTACAGACCAATTACAGAGAAGTGAGCAGATTCCTTGAAGGTTCAGGTTAGCTGAACCTTCTTTCTCCAAACGAATGTAAAAATACTTCTGGGATGAAAAATGGGCTCCTCCTACCCCCTACCAGGTTCTAAGCTCCTAGCTGGAGATGAGGAGTCTTCTCTAGCCCACCATCCTGAGAGCCAGCCCCACACCCCACAGCAGGCTCCTCGTCCTGTAGAATAGCTGCCCTGGCCCTGCTGTGCCAGCCAGCAGGAGCCTGGGGCAGCAGAGTAGCCTCCTTCCCTTCCAGCCCTATCCCGAGCCAGGTGGGAGCAGGGCGCTTTCCTCCCTCGGGCGAGGTTTCCAAAACTGAGGGCACCAGAAAGGCAGCCCTCGTGTCTTCATGGACTCGGTGGACCTGCAGGCTCTGGGACAACCTGGCTCAGGAGACCAGGTCCATGTGTGCTCCAGCTCGCCACGCACGGCAGCCCTGGGGCCAGCTCTCCTCCCCGCACTGTGCCTCTCCCATCCCCATGGGAATGGGCATGCTCTGGCCATGGCAGCCAGCGACAGGAGGAGGGCAGGCAGGAGGGGAACCAGCCTGGCCCTGGCCTCCTCTCCTTTTGCCTCAGTGCCAGCAGCACATGGGCCCCACAGAAAGGTCCTGCCATGCCTGGACATTGCCACTGCCACCATGAGCTGACATGAGGGCACCAGCCTATTGCACCCTCCCCCAGACTGTCACCCTCTCACCTCCCCCACCACTCATCTCTCTCTCCCAGTAGCAGTGGGTGACATCAGTGACAGAATGTGGCTGGCAGTCCCTCTGGCACTACCACAGGGTCTAGCCCCCATCCTGCAGAGCTCAGGAAAGAGTCTGCAGTCTCCCCTGGGGCTCCGGCTTCACCTCCGCTCCCTGGTGCCCTGCCATGCCTGACAGCCGATGGCAACCGCACCGGTTTGAAAAAAAGGAGGCGGCTAATAATGTGACTCACTGAGGCAAAATATGGATGAGTGGAAAAAAGAAATCACATCATCAACGTTTGATTTCTATCCTTACTTTTTTTTTTTTTTTTTTTTTTTTGCAGTGCTGGGGATTGACCCCAGGAGTGCTCTACCAGGGAGCTACACCCTAGCCCTTTCTTTATATGTTTTATTTTGAGACAGGCTCTCACTAAGTTGGTGAAGCTGGCCTCAAACTTGTGATCCTCCTGTCTCAACCTCCCAAGTCTCTGGGTACACCACCATTCCCATATGATGCATTTTTAAAAATAGAAATGGGATCTTACCATTTCCTTCGGTGTGATTTTAACATAATGGTATATCATGCGTACTTCTCATGCCCGTCGATATCCATCTACCTCATTTCACTAACTTCACACTAACTATTCTCCTAGCCAACCTCAGCCCCCAGCTGTTCGACGGGGACTGGATTTCAGTTTTTCTCCAGATAAACACCACCAGGTGATCATCTCTGCACGCTTGTGTGAGACAGGGCCAGGTTCCTTCTCAGGTTTTTGATACACTCTGTAAAATCATCTCCCAGAAACAGCCCTGATTCATGCTCTCACAGTGTGCAGGCCAACGATGAATCCTATTTCTGGAATTCTTGCCACTGATCCTATCCGTCACTATACAGGTGACTCCAAAATTTAATGCCAGTTTTGTCCTCCTCCATATTCAAACCCCACTTCTAATGGTCCACTAGAAATCTGTACCTGGACATTTACCAACACTTCAAACTCATCCAAGACCAAACTCCTGTCCCATTGTAGTCTCATCCCCTCATGACCCCATTAGCCATGGGGCTGCCCCTCCTGGTCTGACCCATGCACCTTGGCCCCTACCCTGGCCATGCAGCCCAGGGGCTCCGCCAGGTCTCTGCCATCACTTCCCTCCCAGCCATCTTGCTGCCACATTAAGTCAGGGTCTACGGCTTTTCTCTTCAATCTGCCTGACACACCAAGGACAGACCCAGTTCCCTAAGTCCTGTCCCCTGCCTGCTGTATCATGATCCTAACTCAGTTTCCACCTCTACAGCCTTACTGTTCCTACCAGGTCACATGGAGGAGACCCTCAGGGCTCCCGACTCCCAACATAACCTGCTGTCCTTCCTCCCTCCTCTGGGCCAGCTGCTCCCAGCTCCCTGCACAGGCCCCAGATTCTCTCCAGGCCTTTCAATGGCATCTCACTCCCACTCTGTTCCCCGTGCCCAACACTGGCCCCTTCTCTTTGTCTCCCAAGGTTCCCCAGAGCTTCCTTACCCTTTCTGGTTCTGTACTAGGTCAGTCTCGTGGTGCTTCTCTGCTGAAGTGCTCTGTCCTTGGAGGTAAGGAGGCGCCTTACTCTTCTTTGTGACTCCTGGAGTCCCTAACACTTTACCCCAACTCTAACAGGAAAAATGGACTAAAGGAGGAAAGGCTGTCCTCTGGTCGCTTGTCCTGCGTCCTCCTCTGCAGGTCACTGCCTCCCTTATTAGATTCATCCCCAGAGAGCTCAGAGTACAGACAGAATCTGATTATCTCTGAATTAGGAAGAACAGAAGGAACATCACCCCAGGCAGTCAGGCAGAGCTGCCTGGACTTCTTTATGAATGCAAAGGGCAGGGCTGGGGCGCAGGGGCGGGCCTCACTCCAGGGTCATTTGCTTCCCCATCCCAGCCAGCCTCCTCGAGACAGGCAGGACCTCAAGGGAGGTTCTCCTCAAAAGGTGATGACCAAGCACATGGCTTTGCCATCCTACACTGCAAACTCATTCCTGGGTTCCTTGGGTTTGCACCCTCCATATTAGGGTGAGACAGCTTGTGTGCATCAGGAGGGAGGGCCTCCAACAGCCAGTGAGCCCCTTACTCTGTACCAGGTCCCATTTTCTCTCAGTCCTCAGCGGTGACACTGAGAACATAATAGAAGCATTACCCCAGTTTGATAGATGATGAAATTAGGGCTCAAAGATCATAAAGAGCAACCCCAAAATTACCATCAGCAAATAGCAGCTCCACTCAATTGTTTATTGAGTGCCTACTGTATATCAGGACTGGTAGATGCTGTAGAGGACATCCCTACCCTCAGGGGGGCTTGCAGGCAATGTGCAGCACAGAGACAGATGAAAAGGGGAGAGCAGTAAGAATTCAAGCTGTCCTGTTTGCACACAGAAGAGGGCCCCTCCTTTAATAAAGTGGCACACTCCTGAGTCTCCTGCTGGCCGAAGTGACCCTGTGCTTTCCAACACCCAGTAATTTTAATGGGTTAGTACTGTCACATTTTCCTAATACTGATGTCAGTCAAAGATCTGAGACTTTGACCCTAAACCTTGTTGAGAAAGTCACCTTGACACAGCCTGGTGATGGTCTTCCCCCTCCCATGACAGCTTCCTGGTTCCTGTTCAACCTTGGTCCCCAGGCACTTCAAGGGCCTGGAAGTGGCCCTCTCCACCCCAAAGGTATGCTCTGCCCAGCAGACCGGTCTTGCAACTAGAGGTACTCACGCTGCCCTTTATGTGGCCACTCTCCTTTTTCTGTAAGAGCACAGGGTGGGGGTGACAGATTTCTGGCAGCTTCTAGAAAACTGGGCTGTGACAAACACACCCCCAGCACACAAACTGCAGCCAGACGCCACTTAATGCAATCAAACAGGGACAGAGCTTCCCCCAGGGCTTAACCTACGCTGCTAAGCCACAAGCTCCCTCCTCAAACCCACTGTGTCTTATTAAAAGGCGACCAGGCCTAATCTCATTATTAGGGACCAGACACTGTACACTTTCTACAGCCTGGGGCAGAGAGGATAGAGGGAAGCGTTCCTCCTTATCAACAGGGTTTTGAGTTAGATGAAGGAGGGGACGATCTTTTGATGGGTGAAAACAGCTGGCTTGTCCCAGAATGTGATGAAAGAGAAGGCAAAGGGGCATTTTCTTACAACTCCACACCTGAGGTACCTGAGGAAGAAAGCAGGGCTTGAAGTCACCATCAGGTTTGAGTGGCTCCTAATACTTAAAAAGCAAAAAGATTTTCATCTTTGTTAAAGTCAAGAGGGCTGGAGACGTAGCTTGGCAGGGGTGGAGGAGGTGGTTACAGAAGAAAAGATGAATTTTTAGGGTCAAAGAAAATGTTTTAATTTGGTCTGGATGACATTTGTGTCTATACCAACACAGATACAAAATAGACCGTTATTATTTGTTTTATGTAGGAAAAGGCCCATGAAAGTCACAATTCAGCCTGAATCACAAAGTTGTGATTTCAAAGCCACTCCACTGTGTTCCCAAACAAACCAAGTCCCCTGTCTAGCCCTGATTCCTCATCTGTGAGGTGGGGGGATATTGAGAACTACCTTACTAGACAGTAGAAAGATTAAGTGGGAAAAATATACACGAGTTCCTAGCACAGTGTCTGCTACATGGTAGGGGCTCAGTCAAATACTGGTCTAATAAAAACTAAACCTGACCCTAATGGCCTCTTCAGGTGAAGTCACATGTCAGCAGCAATGTATATACCAGGTTTGGGGCCCCAGAATAGATGACAGCTAACAGTAGGACTCCCTCTAAAAAATTCACACTTCCCTTCTGCTTCCCACCAGCCTCCCACACTCCTGGAGCAGAAACTCCTGGAGCAGGGGAGCAGGAAGCCTGGTCTGCTTTTAATCTGTGATGTTCTACATTTTCAAAAATCGGTTATGGATTGATTAGGAAGCAGTG